GTAGCATATAAGATCGTATCATGTATACACGCTATATATATATATATATAAAATTATATATGCCTGCCCCTAGTAGAATGGATAAGTCTGCTTCCTCTTCTTTTCTCTCTCTCTCTCTCTCTCTCTCTCTCTCTCTCTCTCTGGGGGGGCGGTATGGGTGCATTGCAGTGCACTCCAGACTTTGATATTTGGTCTTGAGAAATATTTTAGAATATTGAATGAGATTTCAATTTTTCGGCTGAAATTCTGGTCCCCAAAAAAAAAAAATTCAGTGGAGACACTAACATACATAACAACGGTCAAATTCAGCGGTTTTTACCTTCTAATTCGAAAGCGACCCACTTGGCTGACTTTTTTATCGTTTCTTGACATTCATTTTCCTTTGACAAAAATATTATCTAGTGGTAAGTTTTTTTACTATTTTTCAAAGAGCTATTGTCATTTAAAATTTTCAGAGTATAAATTTTTCAATAAAAATTTAGCTATTATTATTATTATTATTAATGTATGTTTAAATATATTTTGAATAAGTAATTTGAATGCTCAACCTCCATGATTGACATGTGACCCTGAATAAGAAACTATAGTCTCCAAGTAAGAATGGAGAATCAACTATTAGCTTTGATTGTGTATATTTTCTGCTAATTAAGAGTCTATTGTGACCATCTTGTAATTTTCACATTTATGGAGTCCTAGTATTTCCAAACTCTCAGACTTTTGAAACACCTTGGAATTATGAGATTTCCAGTGTTCTGCATCAATTCAGCATCCAACTGAATTATTAGTCAAACCTTCCTCTCTGAAATTATTTGTTAATCCCACATTGAAAAATCTTTCATATAATAGATTATAGTGAGCAAAATATATTCATGAGTTAATTCATTCATATTATTGTTTTTAATGTGATATTTTCAAGGAATTTCCATGAAGCTTCATGTTAATGCCTAGCATGAGAAAACATCTAGATCTTTTGATACTTATATTTTACAAGTGATAAATAAGGCATAAGCAAAGTTTAATCATTGATTTTAATTTATCAAAGAAAATTTTAACATTTCAATCAAATACATTATCTTTTATTTTGAAAAAGGAGATGGGGGCCATGTTGTAAAAATTTTAACCTCTGACTAGAAAAATGGGGTCAAGTGGACCAGTATGACTGACAAAGCAAAACCTGATGTATTTTGGTAAATAAAAATTAAAGATAGGAAAACTCAAATACACCTAGTGACAATTAAATCTTCAACAAAGCTACTTGATTTGGCCTTCCAATATGCATATACCAAGGTACGTAAAACCGGACCGGTCATTAAACCGGTCATGGCACTGGGTCACGGGTTAGTGGTTCAATCAGGGTTGAACCGGTAGCAAATGATCATGATTAAAATAATACAATTTAAATAAAAAGACATTAATTATAAAAACATTCAACCAAATCCAACACTCAAAAGTCTAACAATAATAAAATACTATATTTTTGGACTTAGCATGCTCTATCTCTAATTTTTCATTTTTTGACTTCAATTTTATTTTTTTTTGTTATTTTTTTTCCGAATTCAGAGCTCTGAAAAATTAAAAATAAAAAAAAATTAAAAACGACGTCGTTTTGGGGTAAAAGTCTGAAAAAATATTAACCCGGTTAACCTAATCAACCCACCGGGTTATCCGGGTTATACCGGGTTGAACCCGGGTTGACCGGGTTACACCGGTTCACTCCCTTACCGAGTTAAGAGCAAACCCAGATCGAACAGGGGACCGGTTCACCGGCTTTCGGGTTGACCCGACCGGTCCGGTCCAGTTTTCAATACCATGGCGTATACTGACTAACCACATCCAAGAATAAAAATAACAAACCAGACTCCAGAATAGGCATAAATCCTCTCAAAGTAGGCCTAGAGGCTTTCTTAGGTCATGCAAAATATCAGCAGTATTATAAAATACAAAATCTAATAGTAAGTCATTCTTTTCAAAAACTATAAATAACGGGACTCATTTTTTAGATTCTATATAATATACAAAGGCTTCTGTATATAACAGAAGCTAGCTGCAACACATAAGCATGATGGCATTATCTGGCCTGTAGCAGAGTCATAGTTATTTCATTGGTTGAAGAAGACATCATCAGTGCGTTAGAACAATACTGTCCTTCAACTGAAGCCCTTTTTGGTAGGAAACCAGGCTCATTTGGCTCAGGCAAGGCATTCTCACTGCTCAACATTACTACTATTAGTGCCATGTTTGGCCTATCCTCAGGATGCAGTTGCACGCACAGAAGAGTAACATGGATGTATCGTAATACTTCTGATAAATTAACATTGTCCCCCAAACAAGCATCTATTAAATCTTCTGAGTTACCCGCCTTCCATAGTCTCCAAGGCTGCAAGAATTTAGAGCATCTATAACCTCAACCAGTGAGTTACAGCACTGTAGGTAAAAATGAAGTTGAAAGTTCTCTCACTCACATAGCCGATAAGATTAAAACCATGGTTTGGATAGGAAGCCCCATGGTTTTTCTTTCCACTTATTATCTCTAGAAGTAACACACCATAGCTGAACACATCTGATTTATCTGAAAATATCCCATGAATAACATATTCCGGTGCCATATAACCACTAAAATAAATGACAAAAGAGTTAATTATTTGAAAACAATTGTAGAGAATATAACAAGGTAGCATAACAAATCTTGAGATACTTACTATGTACCAATTACTTTCTTTGTATTTCCTTCAATCTGGTCTCCTCCAAACATCCTTGTAATGCTAAAATCTGAAATTTTTTAATTTAACTCCTTATCTAACAAAATGTTACTTGCTTTAAGATCTCTATGTATGATTTTTAATCTAGAATTTTGATGAAGATAGAGAAGTCCTCGAGCTATTCCAAATATAATGCACAGACACTGTGGCCAATTTAGAGATTTACTTCGGTGAAAATCTGTCAAGTTTCATATCTTAAATCAAAACACGAAACAAATGAAGACTTTAATTAAGCAAAGTACCAAAACTTTTTCAGAAACAGACCAAAAAGAATGGAATCTAAACTTTTGTTGGGCATGTATTCATGGATGAGCATGTTCTCGTCTCCTTGAATGCAACAGTCAAGAACCTCAACAAGATTCATGCTGAAGTTTCACACACATTGTAACTTCATTTTCAAACTCATCCAATCCTTGTCCAGAACACTCTGACAACCTTTTGACATCAATCTCTTGTCCATCTCCTAGTATACCCTAAAAATTGGCACTTAAAAACAATAGAATCACGATGAATCAGAAGAGAAAGTTTGTCCTTTGTTCTTTCCAGGAATTTATTATATGTACCCTGTATACAGGTCTAAAACCACCTTGGCCAAGCTTCTTGTCACTTGAGAAATCATTAGTTGCGTGAACAATTGTAGCGAAGTTCAATAAAGGCAGCTCTATGTCTTCTTGCTCTCCTTCACGGACATTGTCTGTAAAATATTTTCTGTATCATCTCAAGTAACAATAATAATGTCTCCATCATAAACCACAAAATAGAGAACTTCTATTTAAGAGTTACAGTCGTGTGTATGCCATCAAATGCAAAGCTCGTCCCTGTTGAAAATTGGGGATTATTGAGAAAGTTACTAGTTTTTAATGATTTTCATCAAATGAAACATGGGCAGAAACACTTTCTTCTTTATTTTTCTTTTTTCTTTTATTTGGAAGCCTAACAAGAACATTCCAAAAAGGTTTCATACAGTCAATAATTAAATTCATTATAAATTTCAAGGAAGTAACATCATCTAATTCCCTAGCAACATTCCCATGTTTTAAAAAAACAGTTGTTTCTCCGTTCAGAAAATAAGATTGTATTCATTTCATTGATAGATCGGCTGCAGAATGAAATTTCACAGACAATAATAAATTAATGGAGAGGTGACCGGGTTAAGAAAGTTTACCTCTTTGCTTTCTGTTCCCCCTATGAACATACGAGAAAGCCGAAAAGATAACAAGAACCAGGGGAAAAGTAGCTGATATTACCACGACCACCTTTTTCTTATTCTTTTCTGCTTCTTCTTGTACAGATTAAGAGAGGAAAGAATCAGCACCCAATCAATATACTGAAAAATGAAGTATAGAATGGCAATAAAAATATTGAAGTTCATACCAATATCAAAATAAGACATTCAAATAAACAGATCTTGCCCAGGGACTATAGCCACTCTCAAATCAATGAGATCACTAAACCAAATGATACAACCACTACCTCCTCCAGTAATGTACAAGTTCGCATATGCCTCACGGGAGCAATTTTCCCAGCACTTAGCCTTGCACTCCCAAAGTGTCATGCTTGCATTAACCCAAGATTTTTTTGTTTCTGGAATTCTTAACCCACTAAATTTTCTAAAACTATCTTTATCTTTGACCCTGCAGCTCCATGGATCAATGCGCACGCATCACTAAGTCCAGTCCAATGCATCATACCTTTGAGGTGATTTTGGGTTGAATCCTGCTAAGCACCGGCAACGTGGTGACTCACTTGCAATATAATTTCCATTGGGGCCATAAGAATTATAATGTCATAGACATCTGATGGTACATATGAATAAAGTATCCGACTTTTGGTATGCTCATCCCAATTGTAACGCTGATGAGAATAAACAGTTTGGTTTAGAACAACTCTCTTAGTCACAGATTTGTCCCGGAGATTATAAGTGTAAACCACCTGATGCAAAACCAAAAGAAATTAAACAGAGATAATCAAACAACTCAAATATCAGTTTCATTGTTATCAATGAGAGATTTATCAAACAGGAAATTTGTATCACCAGGTCATCTTCATTGACGATAAATTGCTGCTGGAAAAGTGGAGTGCTTTTACCTCCAATCGTAACTCCATTCCAAGGTTTATTTCTTTGGTACTCTTTTGAGGCCTTCCACATTACCAACTCAGGAGGAGGTGCAAGTACAATACCGCAGGTGTAAGTCCCTAGGAGAAGGGTCGTCCTAGTTCCTCCATGCTGTTAGGCTTTGATTTAGCCCAGTTTCTTGGTCCCACCCAATCTTCATTCCTGGTAAAAAAGTATCAGAAGGATAATCAAAACTCTGCCACAGGTAGTTTTGAGGATCCTGGTCTTGTTCATTTCTCGAGACAAGGTTTCCAGAGCCTAGAAGTTGGGCAATTCAAGCCTTGTATTGTTGAGTTTGCTGACCAAACAACAGTCTGATTCTGGCTGTGCAGCACAAGACGTCTCTCTGTGTTTATGCTCAACATACTTGAGTTTTCCTTGACTGGTTTTTCACGGTTGGCCACCCAAAAAACAGTTTTCTGTGGGATGTTTCTGTACCAGATTCCAACGCATCGGTTTGTGGAACTACCTGGGCTGAAGAAGCCCAGTTCAAAGATCCCATCTTTAGACACCAAAGTCCTTCCATCAGGAAGTGGCTGCTTATGGGTAATAACATTTGATGCAGAAGAAGAGGGGGCGATTATCAATAACAGTTTTGTAATAGAAAGCAAAAGAGAAAGAACGGCCATTGCTTGGTTAATTTCCAGACGACCACTTTTCCTATTCACAAGACCTTACAATGGAGAGACGAAAAGTTGCATAGGAGTTCGAATTTGGGAGAGTTAAATTGTCAAAGCTGGCACTTCTTTGCCATTCCTCGGGCAGCAAAACTATTGGTGGAGAGAAGAATAACAGATGAACAATTTGACCAAGCACTAAAAACTCAGATAATAGATGGTTCTGCAGAGTCCAAGCTACAAAACCGAGATATTCTTGCTCTTCATTCATGTCACGGATCAAAATTTGATTCCAATCACTGTCCTGGAACTCGTTATGAACAGTGAACTCAAGCGTGTTTACTCGTTCTGAAATCCAGGTTACGCATCTTGCTTTTGGTCAAGCAAGTTACGCCTTTAGAAGAGTCATGGGGAAAAAATATGCAGTAGTAGCATATCGTGTGGAGGATACGAAAGCATATAAATGTCAACACTCAGCAGAGAAAAGACCTTTTAGAACTACAGAACCTTGAATCAGGCTTGTTTCTCACGTGTATTGAAAGAATCGGTTCCTGAAGGAAAGTAGACATGCAATATTTGATGTTGATGTGCTGGGGAAAAAAAGTTACAGTAAAATTAACAAAAAAAATCTGCTTGTGAACTGTGAACTCCACTGCCGTTCTGATGGACCCCATGGCACGGGTGACATAGCATTAATGGCAACGAAGCCTGAGGATGGTAATCATGAGCATGGTGACATAGAAGGAGCCCAATACTTCCAATCCAACGTACCTAAAGACCCATTGCAACATATTGGAGGTCCAATGACAAGAGCCCGAACCAAAGCCATGAAGCAAGCCTTGTTCAGTCTTGTGCAAGAAGTTCAAGAGCTTGGAGAGCATTGGGGCACTCCCCTCAAGTCCAAAGGAGAGCATCTATACGTGTATAATGTATTTAAGATCCAAACTCATGAAGAGTCAAGCCCAAGAGATGCAGACCTTAGCCCAATGCAAGGAAGACTACAAGTTGAGCCTCTTGCATGCAAGGAGGCATGAAACCCTAGTAAAGAAGTCAAGGGTGGCGTGATTTCAAATCCTTTATCATCCTTGATTGTCTCCTAAATTATTTCCTATTTTAATGGTCCTTTGATTTGATTTTCTATTTTGAGTCTAGTCAAAGGTTAGAATTAATTATAATATTAATTTCTAAATTTTGTAATCCCATAATTTTAGGATCACATCTCCTAAATTATGTGGCTGAATATTTTATCATTATTTCTCCTTTTAGTATTAGGAAATTAGGGTTTTAATTTTAGGAAATATTTTTCTATGAGCCTATATAAATTAGGCATGCTCCCTATTGTAAACGACACAGAAGTTGAATGAAATTATTCATTTTAGAGTTTATAACTCTTGTTAGCCTTAGTGCTTTGTGGTGGTATCCCGTGTGAGAAACCGACGTGATCAAGAGCGTGATCAACTCTTGTGGTGTCTTCGAAGGTTGAGGTTCCTAGAGGCAGGTGTTCTAGAGGATCTTCTCCTTGATCATTATCCTATTGTTTACTTCATACCTTTCTTTATTTCCGTCATAAATTTCGTCCCTTTCTTTTTGTTCTTGTGTTTTTGTTGTTTCAGGGTTCTGTCCCTAAACTAGCACGATTCTGCTTCCGTGTCCCTATCACGTTCTTCCCAAAAACACATAGAAATAGGCTCCATTAACGCGGGAAACTTTGGGGTTAGTCCAATTGCAAGATGCAGGTATTTGTCTGAGGGAGAAAGATTAATGTTCAATTTTAGATTTAATGTATATAATATCAATTTAAGATGAAATAGTATTTGTCTCAGGGTGAGGGAGGGCAAATCGCCATTCGCATTTTCAAATCAACAGATTGTAAATGATGAAAGGGTTAAGATCAAATTTTGCTTGTCTACTTATTTTTTTTAAGAATATTGAGCACCCTATACTTTTAAATAAAGCAATTTTATCCTTGATTTTTTTTAAGTTTGAAAAAGCTCCTTTATTAGGAAGCCATAAAATCTTATCGTTATATCATGACGTGGCAACTCATATAGCCTAGGGAAAATTTGAGTTGGCTTCGTAGGTATGGATTCTAACCTTCTAACCATCTGAGTTGGCATCCAAATAGGAGAAGAGGGACACATCATAAAAAGGAGGAGGAGGAGGAGGGGAACACTCCACGCACGCACGAAAGAGAAAGAAAAATGAAGAAAAGAATGAAGACAGTTAAGGCATTTCAGACTAAAAGGGAGAGTAATAGATGAGATTACTCAAGACCCATTGATGATTAAGGGTTATGATTGTGCAATTTGGATGAGAGTTGCAGAAAGGACAGTGCAATTGCAAAATCTTAAAGTATGGTGGAGTGCATGTGTGTGAGGAATCTTGAGGGCAGTGGAGACAACAAAGCTCAACAAGTCGACACCAACTTTAAGGTAAAGCATTAAATGTGACAATGAACTCTTCTTTGTTTATATTAGTTGAGTGAAATATCATCCATGCCTTTTTTACTATATTATTGTTGATTTGAGCATGCTATCATTGAAATGAATGATAAGGGGAAAGGTAAAATTGAGGGTAATGACCCAACTAGTGTTAATTTCATAACCCAATATCTTAAAGTCGTTGAAGAAATAACGACTTATTAGGAGTTAGCAAAACAACATGCGAGTTAAGGGCATAATTAAAGAGAGAATTAAATAGGTCAAAGGGTGAGGGTGTGTTTGCAAAATCATATTTTCAAAGTAATGAAGGCAAGGATAGACAATTCAATGGGAAATGGAGACGATGTTATTGATGTCATGAAGTACTTGGATGAGGCTTACACAGGGATAGGTGATTCTATTGGTCATGATTTGGGGACAATGACATTGAGGAAGAGGAAAGTGACGCTGAGGAAGAAGAAAAGACAATGAGAAAGCGAAAAGTGACATTAAGGATGATGAAGAGAGGCTAGAAGACGATGATTCAGATGATGAGGATTACTTTAAATCAAAAATGGGTTTAGAATATAAAGTTAGGCCTATCAAAGAGGATAGAAGGTGAAAGGATGATGAGTATTACTTGGATGCACCCTTGTAATTTTGCTTGCCACTGCATTGTCGAAGCAAAGCAACCCTCCTTCTATTGCTTCTCATTTTTCACGTCGAAGCCTCAGCCATTCTAAACACCAAAAATGGTTGTCGCTGCAACTAAAGAAGATAATAAACTTGGTTCAAATTGCCTTCAATTTTAAAGCAATAAGCCACGTATATGGTCAAAGGAGTGAAGTTTAGATATGTTAGAGGGCCTCCTCAAATTTTCATTGGGCCCCATGCATTGCCACATCATGATATAACGATAGATTTCATAGCCTCCTAACATAGGGACTTTTTTGGATCTAGAAAGAAAACTTTAGGAGAAAAATTATCTCACTTAAGAGTATGAGATATTCAATACTTCTAAAAAATAAGTATAAGAGTAAAATTGAACCTTAACCTATGATGAAAATAATAAAGACTACATAGCACCATTTTAAACTAAAACAGAGCCACTAGTCAATCCCTTTTTCCATAAGCAATTCATCCATATTAATGAAGCATAGAAAAGTAATTTTCCAAGGGCCCATTTTGGGATTGATTCTAAAAAAAAATTAATTATGTATAAAGTAAGTATGTTTGGATATTATTTTTAAAAAATTAATTTTGATAAAATTGATAATATTTGAATGATTTAGTTAAAATCAATTTTAAATATACACATGATCATAAAAACATTAACTTTTTTAAAATGTAAATATTAATAAAATTGTATACAATATTATTAAATTTACTAAAACCTATGTAGTGAATATCATATTATTAAATTTTAGCATAAGAAGTTTCTTTACTATTATTATTTGTTCCTCATCTCATTATATACCCATTTAAGCCTAAATATCTGATCCCCTCGACAAACCCACTTTCGTATATCTTCTCTCAAATATCATTTCTTGTATCCCCCACCAATATCCTCAATCCACAGGAAGAATTCACAAGCCAAGACATGGTCCCAGTTCATAAACCCTTAGAAGCAAATTGGAGGTCGGACTGGAGATGGGAGAAGACGACAAAGAGACGTGCAATTGGAGGTAATTTCTAATGAACAGGTTTGAAACTCGCTGGAGATCGGAGAGGTAGGTCAGACATTGGAGAAGCTGGTCAGAATATGTGTCGCTGTAGGTGGGGGGAGGACGAAGCGCGACTGGTGTGGAGATATGCCGAAGCTCAAATGAGATCTGAAATTGGCTGCAGGAGGTGTGGGAGGGGCACTTCTGGTAGGAAAAAATTCCGACAAATAATAAATGAGCTAACGTTATAATTTTGAGTACAGATAATTGATATAAAAAAAATAAGGGTGTTTGGGTTTTTTTTTTTTTACCTAAATCATAGTTTTAATAAAAATAATCGATTATAAGAGAAATCCAACACCAAGTAATTCAGTTAAGAAAAGTCTATTATTTATTCTTGTAACTTCAAGAACAATATTATATATTTTTGACAAAGTCTACTCATTATATTTACAAAAAAATATTAAGTAAAAAATAATTATCCTCAAAATGTGTAAAAAATTTTAAATATTGAAACATAAACTTTTTTAAAAAAATTTTATATTTAAAATAAAGATAATAATACTGCCTTTAATTTTATTTATAAGTTATTTTCACATTTTTTACTAAATTAAGAACGATTAACTTTGTTTAAAAATTAAAGTTTCTCACTTTTTTCATATTAAATGTATTTTTAAAATATTTTTTACATCAATATTTAAATGAGATAAAATTAAAAAATGTACTCCTTTTGCTCAAAGACATAAAGCATTTTTTTAAATTAAATGTTCAAAATTATAAGAATTTTCAATTTTAATGTGTAATTAATCACTTTTTTTAAAGATATCCTTGATAAATAAACCATTCAATCCTTTATATTTAAGTAAGATGTTCATTAAATAACAGAAAAAATAAAAATATAATATTAATTTAAAAATAATTAATTGATTTATTGGGAATGTAATTTAATTAAAAATATTATAAAAATATATTTTTAAATAAAGGAGTAATAAATGTCTCCTTGAATTGTTCTATATATAAATATGATGGAAGGGAGTATATTGAACGGAATTATATTATTTAATTAAAGGATGCATTATTTAACAGTGAATTTCCTTTTTTTTTTTTTGGTTTTATTGTCGAGGATTTACACCTCAATCCGGTAAACTCGTGATACGTTGTTGGATTCAAAGAATTCGACTAATATCAATCCAAATGTATATGGTTGTCTCTAATCACGTTTAGACTTTGGAGCTCCACTTTCCCACTTGACGTCAGATTCATTTAACGGATTATATATTTTGGAGACAATTGATAATTTAATATTTTAAAAGATGCAATGTCACATCAACATTTTAAAAAATGGCACTTTGTCACCCGAGACGAATAATGAGACTTAGTGATACTAATTTAGAAAAATAGGCCCCACATATTGATGCCACATGTCGTGAAAAATTTTTATTAAGTGAATCACATTTAAAAATTACTTCAAAAAAATATTTATAGATAAAAATCAATACAAAATATATTA